GGTTGGCGCAGTGGAGATGTCTGGTTAAGGGCAATGTGTGGTGTAAATATTATGCAGAAAATTCGGGAGTGTGGAAATTAGGAAAAGGTGTGTAGTTAATAAAAAGTATTAGTCAGAGGGAGAGAGGGATGTTGAGGTGGTTTGGTCAATTTTTAGAGAGAATGGATGGATCAAACGTAGAAGACATGGAAAGCATTTAAATCTATAGGAAGGAAGGCGGGGATAGGGATCGTCATTGAAAGGGTTGGAGAGTGGTGGTATAGGAGGTTTTGTGGGCAAGGGGCTTGGACTTCAGCAAAGCAATGAGTGAGCATGTTAGATAGGAGTGAATGGAGAGAATGGTACTTGGAACACCTGGGCGGATCTGTATGGAGTGTGAGCGGGTAATATTTAGTGAAGGGATAGGGAAACCAGGTTATTTTCATATAGTTGGACTTGATCCTGGAAATGGAAGTACATGCCTGCACTTTAAAGGGAGGGGTTTTGGGATTATTGGCGGTTTTGGAGGGGATTATGTTGTGTATCTTTTATTTATATGTGTTATGCTTCCAAAACTGTTGTATTGCGCACTCTGCAAAAAAACAGTGTGATAATGTGCAAGTGTGGTGAAAGAGTTGGAAGGATGCTGAAAGTATTTCTTTTGGGGATTTCTTTCTTTTTGTTTTTGGGTCACCTGCCTCGGTGGGAGACGGGCCGACTTGTTGAAAAAAAAATAAAATGTATTGTGTACCTGTGAGGACAGAGATACACAAGAACAGAAGAGAAAGACGACACGACAGATAGGACAGAGAAAAGACAGAGACACAGACAGAGATAAAGACAGAGCAGGATAGACATAGATACTGACAGACAATGAGATTAGAGCCAGGCCACCAGCGCCAAGCCAGCCCCCCACGCAGGACAAGGCCAGCCTGGCATGTTCAAACAAGTGTTATGCTTCCAGAATGTTTCTCCTTACCTTTAGGGCATAGGTTATAGACATGCGGAAAAAGGGTGTGTTGCACAAATATTGACATGGGTTATTATCGAGGTTTTTTTTTTGATAATTTCTCACCATTATGGCCACATCACCTCCCAAAAGCCACTAAATTGGGGTGTCAAACTCACTTCTCTTAAAATGGGAGAGTTAATACATTTTTAAAACATGATATCAGTGAATCCCAGGGTGTTGCCGCGCTGTTTGCTCTAGCTGGCGCTCATTTGAACTGGTGCTCCCACAAGGTACTAAGTGGTTCCAGATTTTTTTAATATGGTGCACACTGAGTGTTAAGACCCATTCTATGCTGACAAGGCATCTCAGGCCAATCATACCAAATTTGAAGGCAGGAAAAATAAAACGTATATATACATTTAGGGCACTAGCGGTAAAATGTATGTATACGTTTGGACTGTTTATGGGTTAAAATAATGCAATAGTCTGCATAACAGTAAATCTTCTATTTTTTGTAAGAATAAAAATTCAAAATGGAAAGCAAGAGTAATATAAGAGGGGCTAATAAACAGAGAAAAGGTTATTTTAGTGCCAGGAATGTCTGCCTTGTTTGTTATGGACCCTATTTTGAAATTGGCATCTTTTGAATTTATATGAAATTGGCCAAATTGCCAATTTCTGACCACTTTATTGGGTATTTAACCCTTAAATGGTCCAAACGTATATATACGTTTTTTCAACATCTGAAAGTATGTAAAAAATGTGGATCTTCTTTTTAGTTTTACATTTGAAAACGTGTAAAAAAACTCTTATCTACATTTTTTTTGTTTTGTTTTTTTCAACAAGTCGGCCGTCTCCCACCGAGGCAGGGTGACCCAAAAAAGAAAGAAAATCCCCAAAAAGAAAATACTTTCATCATCATTCAACACTTTCACCACACTCACAAATTATCACTGTTTTTGCAGAGGTGCTCAGAATACAACAGTTTAGAAGCATATACATAAAGATACCAACATATCCCTCCAACTGCCAATATTCCCAAACCATCCTTTATAGTGCAGGCATTGTACCTTCCCATTTCCAGGACTAAAGTCCGATATATGAAAATAACAGAGTTTTCCTGAATCCCTTCACTACATATTACCCTTCACACCTCCAACAGATCGTATGTCCAAGTACATTAGTTCTCCATTCACTCCATATTAACACGCTCACGCACACTTGATGGAAGTCTAAGGCCCTCGACCACAAAAACCTTCTTTACTTCCTCTCTCCAAACCCTTTCGAGGACCGACCCTACCCCTACTTCCTTCCCTATAGATTGATATGCTTTTCCATGTCCTTCTAATTTGATAATTCTCTCTAAATGACCAAACCACATCAACAAAGCCCTCTTCTGAACTCTGACTAATACTTTTAGTAATCACACCTTTTCCTATTTTCCACACTCCGAATTTTATAGGCATAATATTTTACACCACCCACATTGCCATTAGGACAGGACATCTCCACTGCTCCAACCGACCTCATCGCTGTTGCATTTACCACCCAAGCTTTCAAATCCATATACGGATGTTGTTGGTATTACTATTACTTTCATACATTCTCTTCTTTGCCTCCATAGATAACATTTTTTTGACTCATTATTCCTCATTGCACCACTCACCTTTTTTCCCTCATCATTCTATGATTAACTCATCCATCATAAATCATCCGCCGACAGTCAACTCCAAAGTATATGAAACATGAACTTCGTCCATATTCTCTCACCAATTTGATATCCAATTTTTCTTTATCTAAAATCATTTGTCCCCTCATCTTTTCTATGTTCACTTTTCAATTTTCTTCCTTTACTACCATCCCAAATCATCCACTAACCTTTGGCAATTTTTCTTTAGATCTTCAATATGCACAGTATCATCAGCAAAAGTAACTGTTTCAATCCTATTTGAATTTGATTCCCCATAATATATCCCAACCCTCTCACGAACACCATAGAATTTACTCTTTTACAACCCCATCTATAAATATATTAAACAACCCATGGTGACATTACTCATCCCTGTCTAAGGACTACTTTACAGGGGAAGTAGTCTCAATCTCTTTATTACTCACCTTACCTGAGCCTCACTATCCTCATAAAAAACTCTTTACAGCATTTAATAACTTACAAACTATTCTATATATTACTTGCATCATCTGCCACATTGCTCCTCTATCAACTCTATCATATGCTTTTTCTAAATCCATAAATGCATAAAATTACATACCTTTATCAATACAGTGGACCCGCATAACGATTACTCCGAATGCGACCAATTATGTAAGTGTAGTTATGTAAGTGATTTGTACGTGTATGGTTTGAGGGGTTCTGAAATGGAATAAAAAATCTACTTCACAATATGTCTTATGGGAACAAATTCGGTCGTAATGGCACATGATCATATTCTGGAGTGAAAAAATATCGTAACGGGGGGGGTCCTGTACTGTTCTCATTATGTTCAATGTATATCACTTGATCTACACATCCCATACACAATCTGAAACATCCCTGCTCATCCGCAATCCTCATTCATGTCTTACCTTAATTTTTCAATTATGACCTTACCGTATACTTTTCCTGGTATACTCAGTAAACTTATTCCTCTATAAATTTTTACAGTCTCTTTTGTCCCCTTTCCCTTTATATAAAGGGATATACTTTCTCTCTGCCAATCCCTAGGTACCTTCCCCTCTGTCATACATTTATTTTTAAAAGAAAAGTACCAACCACTCCAACACTACATCCCCACCTGCTTTTAACATTTCTGTATGATCCATCAGTTCCAGCTGCTTTACCCTTTCATTCTACGTAATGCCTCATGTACCTCCCCCACACTTACATTCTGCTCTTCTTCACTCCTAAAAGATGGTATACCTCCCTGGCCAGTGCATGAAATTGCCGCCTCCCTTTCTTCCTCAACATTTAAAAGTTCCTCAAAATATTCTCGCCATCTACCTAATACCTCCCTCTCCCCATCTACTAACTCCCCTACTCTGTTTTTTTGTTATATTTGAAAATATATAATAAAAAGTTGATCTACTTTTGTAGCACTACAAATTTGAACGTCGATCTGTTTGGACCGTTTAAGGGTTAAAATCGATAAATGGGCGGTTTCTTGTACTCAGTCGATAGAACAAATGGAATTCTAGCGAAATAGCTTATGATTTTAGTCGACTGGAACAATGGAATTGGCCGAAAATACTGCTCAAAGTGGGCGAAATTGCATTTCGTAAATATCGCCGAGATCGCTAACTTCGAGAGAGCGTAATTTCATGTTTTCCATCACATTTTGTACTTTTGGTGTCTTTACCATCGGGAAAATATTCTCGTATCATTTCATAAGAAATTGTTTTTTTATCACCTCAATAACATCTCTTCAGATAGCTGAAGAGGGGTTTTTGAGGTGGTTTGGTCATTTAGAGAGGATGGGGCATGTGTAGTGTATAATGTAGTGGAGGGGAGGAGGGGTAGAGGTTGTCCTAGGAAAGGATGGAGGGAGGGGGTAAAAAGGTTTTGTGTGCAGGGGGCTTGGACATGCTGCAGGCATGCGTGAGTGTGTTAAAACTGAATGGAGACGAATGATTTTTGGGACCTGATGAGCTGTTGGAGTGTGAGCAGGGAAACCACTTAGCTGGACTTGAGTCCTGGAGGTGGGAAGTACAGTTTTAAAGGAGGGGTTTAGGATATTGGCTGTTTGGAGTGACATCTAAACTGTCATATCTGAGCATCTCTTCCAAGACAGTGATTATGTGTGAATGATGGTGAAAGTGTTGAATGACGGTGAAAGTGTTTCTTTTTTGGGTTACCCTGCCTCAGTAGGAGACAGAAGATATGTTTATAAACAATGTTGAGTAATTTTGTTGTTGCTTTAGCTTTGTTTTGTTAGGAAATATTTGCAGTTGCTGTTTTAGTTATTATCTTATAAATAGTATATCATCAGAATATAGGGACAATGGCTACACTGTAATATAAAGAATTATTAAGTTAGATTTTAGGTACATTGTTTATTTTCCTCATTTTTTTCAGGTTACCACATCAGTAATACTTACAATCATTGATTTATATAAACAAGATCTTGAAGTGTTTGCGTACAAGCAGCTGCCAAGATTCTATATGCCAAGGGCCTTTCATGACAGAATTGATTCATCTTTAATTTTATTGGTCAGACAGTGTCCATACATTCACACACTGGTAAGGTCACATTTTGTTCTTTTAGAAGTATACATGATCATGGTTTGTTTCATCATTACTGAACTTAAACTGTAGCACAGTAGGGTATAGATACATGAAAAGCTTTCATTTTAGTGTTTTGTTGAACATTAACCCTTAAACTGTCCAAACGTAGATCTACGTTCACCTGCGTGCCGCTCCAAATATTTTGAAAAATAAAAAAATAATTTTTTTTTAAATTAAAGAGGGTAATTTTCTGTGTGTATAAGACAAAAAATTTTTTTTAGGACCTATGAAGGCTTACTCAGCCCTGTAACAATTTCAGACAGTATTACCAAGGCTGGCTCCTCCTCAGGAAAATTAATGAATAGAAAAAAAAATAATAATTCACAAAGATAAACACTTTATTATTTAGTAATGCAAAGATAAAACATTGAAAAAATGAATGTGTATCCTATTTGACAGAAAAATGAAAAATGAAATAAAAATATGTCATTTGAATTCAACGCTAATATGTACAGTTATACTGGGGTGTCTGGTGGAGGTTGACACCGTCTTGTAGAAATTGTGGGGGGGAGTCACAGGTGTTGGTGACAACCCAACGACTAGTTCTTCACAGAGTCTATAGCCTTGAATAGTCAGTCCAGATGACAGGAACGCAGGTTCTTTACCACTGCATAGATGAGGGGTAGTTGCCTGCAGGTGGGCTACCATGAATCAGGTAGGTAGATCAAAAAGTGACATCTCCGGACTTCAGTCCGTCTCCTTCAACACTTCTCGTTGGTTGGCAGGTGACCCGAGCTGTCATTCCAAGCTGGAAAGAGAGACAGGTTACCCACTGCTTAAGAAATCACTCTCCATGATAAGTGTAAGATACTTAAAAAAGGTGATGATTATCTAAAAGTCTCATGTGGAGCTTAAAACTGAAAGGACTAAGTTTATTATTGGTCAAAAGTGAAGCTTTCAACCAATATCCACTAGAATAGGAGCAGAGGCTTTTACTTACAGTTGTGCTGGGAGCTGTGAGTCGAGTGATTACTGTTTGGCCGGAGCCCCACACGTCACCTTTCGGGGTGGGGAAAAAAGGGGGGGGGGAATAGCGGGAGCTAGACTGACCCTACCTTAACAAGCAGCCGGCAATCAAACTATCGTTGCCATATACTCGCTCGCTACTCCTATCTGTTGAACTTTTCCATCACACTCCCCCATACCAAGACTTATAGTCAAGGAGTATAAGAAGAATAGGCGAGGAAAAAGTTCTAATACGAAGTCGCCTAAGGCGCCAAATCTACTGACTGTCACAACTTAACCAGTCAGAGAAATAATTGGATGAACCATTGATATATACAATATGAAACTTAAAAGCTTGGAGTGCCAATGTCCACCTCAAGAGGCGACTGTTGGTTCCCTTAAAAGTTTCTAGGTATATCAAAGGTTTGTGATCCGTCTCTAAAATAAATTCTTTTCCCAGTAAATAAAATTTAAGTTTGGAGATACCCCACGCAAGGGCCAAACATTCCTATTCTATGGTGGAGTATCTCGTTTCTGCAGGAAGAAGTTTCCGGCTTAGGAAGCATACAGGGAAGGGAGTATCATCATGGTACTGTAGTAACACCGCACCTAAGCCGGTATTGGAGGCATCAGTCCTTGAACAAAACGGCTTATTAATATCTGGAATTTTGAGTACTATAGGGTCTTTAGAGAAGATGTCCTTAATCTCATTAAACTTTTCTCGAGCTACGTCGGAAAGTTCAAGAGGTTCCTTCACAGACTTTTTAAGGTAGTCAGATAAGATGCCTGTAAGATCAGTGAGGTTCGGGATAAACCGTGCATAAAAATTTACAGAACCAAGAAAGCTACGCATGAGCTTCTTGGTTTTGGGGAATTTAAACTCTAATAAAGCTTCGATCTTACTGGGGAGAGGGCGCAAAGAGTTATTAGAAAGGATCAGTCCGAGATACCTAATCTTGTTATACCCAAGGAAGCATTTCTTTGGCTTGGCAGTGAGGCCATGTGAGCTTAACCTACGTAAAACTGATGTTAATGTTTGGATATGCTTGCTCCAGGTCAATGTCATTACGTAAATGTTATCAAAATAAACTGAAACATTTGGCATATTACCCAAGACCTTTCTCATCAGTCTCACGTACGTAGCACAGGCAGTTACCAAACCGAAGGGCATAGTTCTATACTGCATCAGTCCTTGGTGGGTAGGAAAAGCTGTGTACTGCTTAGAAGAAGGATCTAACATTACTTGATGGTATGCCTGCGCAATATCAATCTCTGAAAAGAAGGAAGAGTCATAAAATTTGTGTAGATCGCTATCTATTAAGGGCATAGGCTCAGCATCCCACCGAGTTATAGCATTAAGGCCTCTGAAGTCAATAGCAAGTCTATATGAATTATCCTCCTTCTTAACCATGACTACTGGTGAGCAATATGCAGATACTGAAGGTTCAATGATCTTTAGTTTTAATAATTTGTCTACCTCTCGGTCAAATGCATCCCTCAGGGGAACTGGAACTGGGTATAATTTCCGTTTGATAGGATTGTCCGTGACTAAGTCAATCTTATGGACTACCGTGGAGGTGACACCTGGAATATCAGTAAAAACGTCTGAGAAGTTACTCACACATTGAAGTAGTTCATGTTTCTTATGGTCATCCAAAGACTCATTAATATTAATGTTTGTTGCACCCGAGTAGTCAAGAGTCACCAAGTCATGTAGTTCTCTGTCATAGTTTACATTAGAGGTGTCAATTACGCACACCTTACACTCCTCAGTTGTCGTATCAAGTATGTGTGGAAAAACTAAATAAAAGTCATTCAAACCGTTAACCGAATTTCTTCGGTAATATTTCTTAAGAACGTTGATATGATAAAGCTTGGGTTTCCCCTTGACTTCTATGAGATAATCAACCTTCCCACAAATTTTCAATACCTTATACGGACGTTTCCATGCTACTAATAATTTATTTGATTTTATTGGTAAAAGTATCAGAACCTCATCCCCTACTTTAAAACTTCTCCTCTGACTTTTGGAATCAAAATAGGTTTTGTACTGGTCCATTGACAAGCTTAAGTTTTTCGAAACTATGTCAGAGGTCTCCTCAAGTTTGGATCTAAGGTCAAGGAGAAACTGAAAAGACTGAACCTCAGCATTCACGTCCTCATTAGTCCATAAGTCATGAAGGATGGACAGTGGACCTCTGGCCTGTCTACCATAGAGAAGTTCAAAAGCTGAAAACCCCGAAGAGTCACTGGGAACTTCTCTCATGGCAAACAAAGCACAGGGTAGGTAACGATGCCACTCCTTAGGTTTAAAGGAGCAAAGTTTCCTTAAAATGGACTTGAGGACCGAATGCTGGCACTCAATCCTCCCATTACAGCTGGGATGATAGGGTGTTGTGAAGAGAGGTTTCACTCCTAGAAGTTGGTAGAGATGTTGCATTAAGTCAGATGTGAATTGTGGCCCACGGTCAGACAAAATTTATCTAGGGATGCCAACTCTGGAAAAGATGGACAAAAGGGCTTCAGCCACCTCTGTCGTAGTTATAGTCTTTAAGGGTACAGCTTCAGGGAAACTCGAAGTATAATCAAGTAATGTTAATATATATCTATGTCCCCCAGATGAAAGTGGTGATAAAGGACCAACGATGTCAATAGCTACTCTTTCAAACGGTACCGTAAAGATTGGCATTTTGACGATAGGTACTCGCCGGGTACCTTGGGAGGATGACAGTTTGCATACTTTACACGATCTACAATAGGTAGTGATATCTGAGGACATTTTGGGCCAAAAATAGGTTTCCCTAATTTTATTTAAGGTTTTACGGTGCAAGAAATGTCCAGCCACTGGTAGGTTATGAGCCATTTTAACCCTTAAATGGTCCAAACGTATATATACGTTTTTTCAACATCTGAAAGTATGTAAAAAAATGTAGACCTTTTTTGTTTTACATTTGAAAATGTGTAAAAAAACTTTTATCTACATTTTTTTTTGTTATATTTGAAAATATGTAAAAAAAAGTAGATTTACTTTTGTAGCACTACGAATTTGAAAGTCAATCTCTTCGGACCGTTTAAGGGTTAAGAACAGTCTCTCTGCATTGACTTGGAACAACTAAGATGGAATAGTCTATCTCATCTGAATTTAATTTGAATGCTGATTTATACAAGATACCTTTTAAATGTTGAGGAAGAAAGGGAGGCGGTAATTTCATGCACTGGCCAGGGAGGTATACCATCTTTTAGGAGTGAAGAAGAGCAGAATGTAAGTGTGGGGGAGGTACATGAGGCATTACGTAGAATGAAAGGGGGTAAAGCAGCTGGAACTGATGGGATCATGACAGAAATGTTAAAAGCAGGGGGGATATAGTGTTGGAGTGGTTGGTACTTTTGTTTAATAAATGTATGAAAGAGAGGAAGGTACCTAGGGATTGGCGGAGAGCGTGTATAGTCCCTTTATATAAAGGGAAAGGGGACAAAAGAGATTGTAAAAATTATAGAGGAATAAGTTTACTGAGTATACCAGGAAAAGTATACGGTAGGGTTATAATTGAAAGAATTAGAGGCAAGACAGAATGTAGCATTGCAGATGAGCAGGGAGGTTTCAGAGTGGGTAGGGGATGTGTAGATCAAGTGTTTACATTGAAGCATATATGTGAACAGTATTTAGATAAAGGTAGGGAAGTTTTTATTGCATTTATGGATTTAGAAAAGGCATATGATAGAGTGGATAGAGGAGCAATGTGGCAGATGTTGCAAGTACAGTGGACCCCCGCTTAACGATCACCTCCCAATGCAACCAATTATGTAAGTGCGTTTGTACGTGTATGTTTGGGGGTCTGAAATGGACTAATCTACTTCACAATATTCCTTATGGGAACAAATTCGGTCAGTACTGGCACCTGAACATACTTCTGGAATGAAAAAATATCGTTAACCGGGGGTCCACTTCTATGGAATAGGTGGTAAGTTATTAAATGCTGTAAAGAGTTTTTATGAGGATAGTGAGGCTCAGGTTAGGGTGTGTAGAAGAGAGGGAGAATACTTCCCGGTAAAAGTAGGTCTTAGACAGGGATGTGTAATGTCACCATGGTTGTTTAATA